GTAAGTTCATACAGGTGTTGCCCCGTGTACAAGAAGTGAAATGAAGCAAAGAAGCAGCAGGCGAAGCCAGCAGCTAAGATCCCTACGCCGGCAGATTTTCCGAAATTCATCGAAACAGAGGAAGACAGCAGTAAAACCCAGATGAAACCTCTCTACAGTGATAGAGTAAAGAAAAAATTGGAAAACCCACCCACAGAGTACAAGGATATCATAAACTGGATCCAAGATCCTAAAATCAAAAAAATTTCTGAACAGTATGGTTGAGCACGTTGAGAAGATCTGCGCTGCAAAAACCACGGCTGAGAAGTTTACTCCTGGTTCAAAGCAGCCATGACACTGATGAGATTTGCTGAAAGTGAAGAGTAATCACCAGCTTAGAAGCATTTGAGGGAATTTCATTATGTTTACGATTTCTTTTCACTTTTTCAACACACAGGTTCCTTTGTTTACAGCAGCAGAGCTCGGGGTCAGTACTTGGGTGGGTGACCAGCCACGTGACTGGCCTCGACGTATCATCTTTCTTCAACTAGTGAAGACACATCACAGCTTGTACGGCGGCCAGCTGCTTGAACCCTCCTTCTCCAAAGTCTACTTGACCAACTCACGTGCATTAGCACATGTTCCTGCTTCACCTTTGTCGGTGCGGTGTAAATCACCTTAATTTTTAATTCTTCCCAACGCCTTAGGGCATATCTCCAACAGAGACGGTTAAAGTAGCAGAGGCTACTAAATGCGGCCTAACCATTCACTCGATTTCGATTTCGATTTCAGTTCAATCAGTTAGTTACTTAGTTTGTTGTTGTTTAGAAAACTGCTCTTGTTGACTGTAGCGAATTCGCGGATTAGCTTTCTTTAGCTGTTTTGGAATTAAGTTCTATTGAACGTTTGAGTAGTTAAAAGATAACTACTGTGAGATATTGTAATACTGCACGATAATTTGAGGAAATTTAAGCCTATTTCTTGTGATAATAATAAATTTTTTTCTTCATTTTTCATCGGAATTGAACATTCATTTCAAACGAACCCGTACGCACGGAACACTATTTACAATTATTTATACTGCGTACTATGGCCATAGTAAGGAGCTAACCTGTCGTAATGAACGACTTTAGATTTAGACGTCAATGACTTACAGATCCGAACCACGACGTCGTTCAGCCTGTTTAGGACTGTTAGGACCATCCCAAAGTGACTGTAATTTCGGACACAGTCCTTTCCGTCGAGTCGGATTCCATAACCATACCTTGTCTCCTTGGTAGAATTGATGTCCAGTAGCTCTTGTGTCGTATCGGGTCTTCATCTTCTCCGTCTCCAAGTTGACCCGCTCTCGTGCAAAATTGTACATCGCATCAAACCGGGGTGCTACTTTGGTAGACGGTTGCATGGAATTTGGCGATTTTTTTTGGCGAGCTATACCACTTATGGTAAACCCATTGCCAGACAAGTTATTTATGGTAACCGATACTTTGTTGTCATTTTATTTAAAAAATAATGCGTTTTATTATGCATAAATTCCGTGTTTTAAATATTATGTATGGTTTCTAAATATTAAAAATCAATTTAATTTTGCATTTTTATTTAAAATAAAAATTTTACTGTGTATGATATTTTATGTAATTTTATGTTGTGGATCATGTAATGAATGACGTCAGATTACTTAAAAGTAATTGGCTTTAAATCTAATGTTTTAAACATTATTTATGGCTGTTAAATATTAAAATTAATTTAGTTTTGCATTTGTTTTTGAAAAATTATGTTATTATGTATAATTATTTAAATAATTTTAATTCTATGCGTGATGTAATCAGCTCCCTGATTCGTTACAAAATATCTGTGCATTAACGAACTGTAATCAGCTCCTTGATTGGTTACTGAATATTTGTGCATTACCACGCCATTTTAAAATTTTATTATTCATCTCTTCGAATTCCTTACATTTCATAGGGAACGGATATGTCTCTTTCAAAGATTAATGTTGTTATTGTTAAGTACCAAGAATTATTGGTATCGGAATCAAAATTTGTCCTTTGAGACCTTATTTTGGCCGACATGGTTTTCCTAATCAAAGATTTATTTATAAATTGTTACAAGGGTCAGAGGAAATTTATTTTAAATTTTTGAAGGAAATCTCGCTAATTGCTTCTTCAATGAAGTGCAAGCAATGTGAATCGCAGATGAAGATCGTTAAAAGAGCCGATTCTGAGGACGGCCGTATATAGTATTGTGGTTCACGGTGGAAGAAATAACCTCTGTAACGGGAAAAAGGATATTAGCCATTCCTCCTTTTTTATCGGCAGTAAACTTCTAATTGCTGTCATTTGGGCTCTAGTATACGTAGCGTTCTTATTTACTTATTTTAAAGTATTTAAGTAATATTTTAATTCTTTTAAACGTTGGTATGATGGTTTTTAATTCGATATTCATTTTAAGTAATATTTTAATCCAAGTAAACGTTGGCGCAATGTTTTTATAGCGGTGTTTTTATTCTATTTCATTGCTATATGAAAGTAATAATTTAACCTTACTTTAGTATTTTATACTCGTAGTAAATGTATTTATTTACATTTGCCTGCCATCTTAAAAAACAACGTTTTCAACAAAAAATTAAGTCATTATTTTTAACAATATTTATTTTTTTTAAAGTTTCAAATACTTTACTATGGGAAAAATACGTAAAAACAGTGTTTTTGAAGATCGCTGACGATTGTTAAAACAGCTCCAACAATTGCGCCAAAATCGCCAAAAATCCGTGCAACCGTCTACCAAAGTAGCACCGAAACCGGGCCTGGAGATCTTGGATGTATTCTTCAAGCGATGAAGACTCATTGAGAGGGCTACCAAATAAGAGGTCACAAAGCAAAGGAAGGTCACAACCGAGGAGCATCTGAGATGGAGAATAGCCGGTAGTCTCGTGGACAGCACGGCGGTAAGCCATTAAAAAGAGAGGTAATTTTTGTACTCGTCCAGTTGGTTTCTGGAAACCACTAATGAGAGGTTATTAAGGATGGTTAGATTAAACCTCACTACCATGCCGTCCTACTGGGGATGTAAAGGCGTTCGTTTAGGTTTTGTCAATACCGATCGGCTTGCAGAGATCCGTCATTACAGCCAAGGTAAAATTCCTTCCCTCATCGGAATGTAACTGAAGAGGCACTCCGAACCTGGAATTCCAGTGCTGTATCATCACCTCTGCTACTGTGACAGCCTCTTGATCAGGAATAGGATACGCTTCAGGCCACTTGGTGAAGTAATCAATGACAACGAGGATGTATTTGTTGCCATCAGCAGTTCTTGGCAGAGATCCCAAGATGTCAAAGGCGATACGTTCAAAAGGCGCTCCTACGTTGTAACGTTGCAGCTTCCCTCAGCTGCGTTTCATTAGAACTTTCCGACCTGCACAGGCATCCCAAGATCGGCACCACTTTTGTACGTCATCTTTTGCATTCAGTAAATGCGCTCACGAACTGTATGCAAGGTCTTCATTATTCCAAAGTGACCTCCTGTAGGGCTGTTATGTAATACGGGATCTTGGGAGTATCAGTTGCCATCGGAAAATCTTCCCATCATCCGATTCGAATTTCCGGTATAAGACGCCGTTTCGAATGTGAAGTGAATCCCAGAGTGCCCAGTATTGTTTTGTTGTAGGACTATAGATAGAAATGTCCTGCCATGTAGGTTTTCTGTTTGATGACTCCATTAAATCAATTATGGGTTTAATGTCACGGTCTTCCAGCTGGTCTTTCCTGACTTCATCATCACTCCACGGGTCTCGATCAGCCGATGTTGATGTTGTAATTTGTCTTGCGACCGGAGTCAGCAGCTCGTATTTCGCTTCCACCCTGGAACAATATCGGCAGCTTTCTGGGCAAGGTCTTCTAGACAGGGCGTCGGCGTTCCGTGTGATGATCCCTTACGATGACGGATAGTGATGTCATATTCTTGGAGTCTCTGTATCCACCTGGCTATTTGACCCTCAGGATTCTTAAAATTTAAAAGCCAGGCCAATGATGCATGGTCCGTGCGGAGCAGGAATTTTCTGCCGTATAGATAATGATGGAAATGTTCTACGGCTTTCGCGAGCAACTTTTTCCTGGTGACACAGTAATTCCTCTCCGGTTTAGACAGGCACTTGCTCCAGTAAGGCACTACACGTTCTTGGCCGTCTATTTCTTGGGACAAAACAGCACCGACACTTTCATTGCTCGCGTCCGTGTCGAGAATAAATGGTCTGTCGAGCTGAGGATACGTCAGGATTGGAGCAGATGTTAAAGCTTCCTTTAAGTTGTTAAATGCATCCTCGCATTCTTTTGTCCACAAGAACTTTTGCTTGCTCTCTGTCAGCTTGTGAAGGGGTCTTGCGATGGAAGAAAAGTCCTTCACGAATCTCCTATAGTAGGTGCAAAGCCCTAGGAAGCTTCTCAGCTGATGGACATTTTCGGGATGTTTCCAGGATTTAACGGCTGACACCTTTTCAGGATCCGTGAACACACCTTCTGCAGAGATGACATGTCCCAGGTAAGTCACTTCCTGTCTAAATAATTTGCATTTAGCGGGATTCAACTTTAGAGTGGCTTCCTTTAGTTTTTGAAGCACCTTTCTAAGATTTTCTTCAAAACTCTTTCCGACGATGATGATGTCGTCCAGGTATATCAGGACAGGCTTCGTAGGAAAGACCTTTCAAAACAGTCTCCATAAGACGTTCGAATGTTGCCGGCGCATTACACAGTCCAAACGGCATCACCTTGAACTGCCAAAGTCGTTGTCCCATAGTAAATGCCGTCTTTTATCAATCATCAGGGTGTATTTCTACAGCCAATACCCATTCTTTAAATCAAGTGTTAAGAACCACTTGCTTCCAGAAAGAGTGTCCAGAATGTCGTCAGTTCTAGAAAGAGGGTAACTGTCTTTTTTCGTAATCTCATTCAACCGGTGATAGTCAACGCAAAATCCTGTTGAGCCGTCTTTCTGATGAGGACGATGGGAGATGCCCATGGACTTGCTGAAGGCTCGATGACATCACCTTCTTCCATAGCCTTTAAAAATGTTCGTACCTCTTCCTGTTTGGCAATCGGCAGACGTCTCGGATGTTGCTTGATTGATTGATGATCACCGGTATCGGTTCTATGTCGCATTTTATGTTCGACCCACGTCAGAAGACGAGCAGGAGAAAACATCTTGAAGTTTTTTAATGACACGATCGGCAGCATTTCTCTCCTCATCGTTTAATTGCGCAATCTGCAATAACCCCGATGTAATGCTCTCTGAAGACAGGGATTCTGCGATGCTACTCTTTCTTTCAACGCTGGTTACTGGAGTACATGCTGCAACCATTTCAGCTTCCTTAATAACTCTCGCCTTGTCAGTTACATTGGCAACTCTCACCGGGATAACGGTCCTCGACAGATCGACGAGTGCTGAGGCTACTAGTACTCCTTTCGGGCTATTACAATTCTTGGGATATTCCATGATGCCGTAGCGGAAATTTCTATTTTCGGCTATGGATCCAGGAAGTAAAATTTCTGTTCTTGCCGGTATTGTGATATCGTCTTGAGCTGATTTTGTGGATACATTTAACTCCTTCATCATTAATTGTTACGGTTTTAGTATTGATTCATTTAGTTTGCTATTTTAAATAGAATTATTATTAAATTGTTTCATTTCTCCGTGCAATGCTGCACACGACTTATTTGAAGAGAAAGCTACGCCGGAAAAATTAAAAATACTGGAGTACGCGCATTTAATAAATAGATATCTCATAATTGCACGCTTTTGATTTTTGGGAAAAATCGAGAAAATACCAAAATATGCTCGTGTACATTAAAAAAGCTTATAAAAGCAGGATCAAAAGCCTCTCGTTCAAGTTTATTTAGAAAACTGGTTTACTGTAGCGAATTCGCGGCGAGATTGAATTAGCTTTCTCTACGTTTCTCTTGTTTGAATTAAGTCCTGTTGGACGTTTTTGTAGTTTAAAAGATAACTACTGTGAGATATTGGGATATTGTATGAATATCTGAGGAAATTTAAGCATTTTGTTTTTATTTGTTGTGATAAAAACAAATTTCATTAATTTTTCATCGGACTTGCGCATTCAATTCATAACGAACCTGTACGCACGCAACAATATTAATAAGGCTGAATGCTGTACGTGTTTGTTCTGATATCAAAAAAGGAAATTTGTTTATATAATAACACAAATATTACATTTCATTTTACATATTCAGTTTAACTATTCTATGAATAATAAAAAAATACAGTTTATCGATTTAGTTGGAGGCAAATATTATTATTCATACAGAGACAAATGCAAGCATTAAAACTTTATGCAATTTATCTTAACATTATTTGACTCATTCTACTTTCTGTGAATATATGGAAAAAGGATATATATTAATTTAATATAATAACCTGTATACAATATCCCCACAGACATAATGATTACACTTGTAGATTACACTTCTAAATACAAGCAAATATGTGTAAGGCAAATTTATGTAATTAAATGGAAGATCCTAATATTTATAAAAATGTACAGAAATAAAAGGAATAATTTAGTATTAAAGACAGCTAAAAAATAGAATTATTTACTTAATTGTATGCAAAAAGAAATTATAGTTATACTATTCAAATACGTCACTCAAAAAAATCAGAAATAGACTTTTTATACAAATATAAAATAATATAATATATCAGTCGCAGGATATATTATGAAAGTAAGCATATCTGGTAATAATACAAATCTCTACCAACAAAAACAAATATATATATATGTAATGATAAAATTCCATAGTCAAGAATACACTTAAAATTCTATCTGTATGTTCTTTTCATTTTTAATGGCGACGTTCTCTTATTTGAAAGTACTTGGAATTAAATCCACAGCCCCGTAGTCAAGTTGTTTTTCCCGTCTTTTCTACACGTACAGTTATAGAATGTTCTGGAAATATTTAAAGCGAACTGGAATGGCTGACGAGGTTGACGTCATTTCTTGGAAGCTCCGCCTTTCCAGAAGCTATAAAAGGACTCACAAAGGAATATCGGGGTCTTTTATTTAATGTAACGATGCAGTAAACTTCATACAAAAAGTTATTAGTAGTTCTTTTTTATTTACTCCGGAAATCTGATTTTTGTAACTGCTATTTTCTCCTGAATAATAATAAATGGATCCTGTTTTTTAAACTTATCGTCTGATAATTTGAGCTGCGACTATATCTATGATTCTTCACCAATCTATTCATTCCGGACAAAAGCTGGTACATCATATATGCGTGCGTACGGGTTCGTTATGAAATGAATGCACAAGTCCGATGAAAAATGAACAAAAATTTATTATTATCACAACAAAAATGCTTAAATTTTCTCAAATTATCATGCAGTATTACAATATCTCACAGTAGTTATCTTTTAACTACTCAAATGTCCAATAGAACGTAATTCAAAACAGCTAAAGAACGCTAATCCGCGAATTCGCTACAATCAACAAGAGCAGTTTTCTAAACAACAACAAACTAAGCAACTACTACGAAATCAAAAAGAGATATTTATTTATTTAATGCACGCGCTCTTGTATTTTCAATTTTCCGGCTTAGCTTTCTTTTAATACTCGTCACGCGCTGCACTGCGCGAGAAATAAAACCATTTAATTTATAATTGAACTAACATTAGCTTTTTAAATACCAAATTCGTAACACTGCCCCCTTCCCAAGGACTGCACGTCCCGGGCAGTACAATCCCTGGACAGGAAGCCAAACTTACAACTGTGGCATAAATGCAATAATAAGCATTACATTACAATAATAAACAACATGAACAATAAATGCAATAACTAACTTAAACAAATCAAATGCTATCAAATACTAAATACAAAACAAATACTAAATACAAATCAAATCAAATACACATTTAAAAACAAAAAAAGGACCATGGTCTTATACTATTTACAATTATTTACATTACGTACTATGGCCATAGTAATGAGCTAACCTGTCGTAATGAACGACTTTAGGTTTAGAGTTCGAACGGATCCGAACCACGACGTCATTCAGCCTGTTTAGGACTGTGTGGTGACCATCCCAAGGTGACTGTAATTTAGGCCTGACTCCTTTTCGTCGAATCGGGTTCCACAACCACACCTTGTCTCCTTTGTTGAATCTATGTCCAGTAGCTCTCGTGTTGTATCTGGTCTTCACTTTCTCCGTCGCCAAGTTCACTCGCTTTCGTGCGGAACGGTGCATCACTTCAAAACGGGCCTGGATATCTTGGATGTGTTCCTCAGGCGATGAAGGCGCATCCGTATGGCGATCAAACAGGCGGTCACAAGGCAGACGAAGGTCTCGACCGGAGAGCATCTGTGATGGTGAATACCCGGTAGTCTGGTGTTTCTCTCGAACCTAGTAGGATTTCGGCAGCTTTCTGAATAGGGTCTTTCACATGAGACGTCGGCGTTTCCAGGTGATGATTCCTTTTGAGGATGGATCGTCATGTCACTAGATCCAGATGCTGAGAACAGCTTATTGTTTTTGAAATCTAAGGAAAAATTGTATTTCCTTAAAAAGTCCAATCCGAGTATGCATGGATCTGTAATATCCGCCACATATGCCGTGTGATGGTAGGCGGCACTTCCAAACGTGATGTTTACGTTTAACTTCCCAGCTATGTCGATCTTGTCACCAGACGCAGTCTGAAGGGTAACACAGGATGGCGTCCAAATAAGTTTATCTTTAAACTGTTCAGCTAAATCTTTCCTAATGATGGTAACATTAGCTCCTGTGTCAATGATCATATTGCAAGGAACTCCATCGATATGCCCATTGATGGACAGTCCGTTACTGTTGCCACTCACTCTAGAAATCTTGAGTGCTTTAAAACAAGGTTTTTCATTATCTGGCAACCTCCGTTTCTTGATATGGTCATTAATTTGTTTCCTGCGTCGCTACTGAGAAATGGTCTCAATTTCCGTACCCTGGAGTGTTCTGCAATTCTTTCGTACGTGGCCTTCAGCTCCCCAGTTCCAGCACTTTGGTTTCTTGTCAGTCCTTTTCTTTCCCGTGGCATTTAATTGTCTGCTTAAATCGTATGCCTTATTTTCCGTGCCCTGGGGTGTTCTGCAGTTCCTTCGTAGGTGGCCTTCAACACCGCAATTCCAGCACTTTAGGGTCGGTTTCTTTTCACCACTATTCCGTCTTAAAGCATTCGTTGGTCTTGTAAACTCATTCGTTTTATTATCCGTGCCCTGGGGTGTTCTGCAATGCCGTCGTAGGTGACCTTCAGAACCACATCTCCAACACCTTAGAGCCACTTTGTTCTCACTGCTACGCCGTATCAAAGCATTGACTTCTCTAGCTAAATCATCTAAACGAGCCATCAGTTGATCCCCTGGCTCGTGGACTCGCATAGCTCTGACTGGGTAGCGATCTATACTAGTTGCTTGCTGGGCTGCCTCGAACTTCATGGCGTACAACAGAGCGCTTTTTGTGTCCCTCACATCTGCCATTCGCAGTGCTTTCTGTATTTCAGGGTCCCGGATGCCATCGATGAAATATTGTAGGGACAGGATTTCCCTTGTTTCTGTCGGGCATTCCGAAAAGGCGAGATGGGACAGTCTTTCAACATCCGTGGCGAGCTCCTGAAGTGTTTCGGTAGGCTTCTGTTGACGAGATTTCAATTGAAGACTGCTGTAGTCTTTTAAACAGCTCTCCCCAAAGCGCAGCTTCAAGGCGCCGGACAGAGCTTCGAAATCTAACCTTTTGTTTTCGGGAAGAGTCTGAAGGATATCCGCTGCGTCGGCTCTTAAAGAAGCGGCGAGATGACAGTCCTTAGCTTGGGAATCCCATCCATTCGCATCCGCCAAGATAGAAAATTGTGTCTTATACACCTGCCAGGAAGTCTTCCCATCATATGTGGATAGCTTCAGAGGTGGACGAGCAGGCATCGGCAAGAATTTAAAATCATCACGCCTGCTCCCTGCCGACGCTACGAATTTCTTTAAATTATCCATTTCTTTGGCAACTGCAGAAACTCTCTCATAAATTTGTTGTTTGATTTGTTGTTTAACGGATCAAACTCTTCCTTCTATTTCTTCTTTCACTGAATCAACTCTGTAACCTATTTGTTGTTCCACGGCCGAAACTCTGTCTTCTATTTGCTCTTTCACAGAAGAAACATTTTCTTCAATTTGTCCAACTTTAATTTCGACCGCGTCTATTCTGCATTCCATATATAT